CAAGAGGTGAGACTCAAGTCTGGAGATTGTAGGAATGAGCAGAACTAAGATGATACTCAAACTGAGGAGTTCCAGAGTATTACAGGGGTTCATATACTGTAGGTATCATGTAAGTAAATCAGTCAGCAAAGGTAAGGGCTATGTACAAAGCATGTGGAAAGTCTATTAGTAAGCATAATGGATCAAAGCAGTGAAGTCGGAAATGAAGTAAGAATGGACGGATCAGTAAGCATAGCGGAATAGGACATAACCGGTAACCGGAGCAATAGCTATTCTAAAAGGAGCTAGGGGTGAGTGCAGAGATGAAGGTGGAGCACCAGGCGGAATAGCAGGACGGAGAACTGGACTTTAATGGAGTAGATCCGGAATTCCGGATCCGGAGGTATGGGATATGACAGTGAGGCATGGTGTTCCTCCTGCCTGATGATAGTGAAGGGGATGTGTTCCTCCCACATGATTGTGAGAGGGGTATAGTGCTGCTCCTGTTTGATTAAGGGAGACTGGAGATGTTCCTCCTCATTAATGATGGGAGACAGTGAACATTTGTTTTGACAGGCAGGGAGAGGTAGCATGTCTGCCTCAGATGTATATAAGGTGGCATAAGTGTAGGAGATGAGAGGTGCCTTACCTCAGGTGGCACCACAGCATACAATGCAGCACTGGCAGTGCACTCATGCATGCTCAGATACATCCCTGGTACCAGAACAGTAGGCCTCCACCTCCACCTCCATAAAGTATCAGGAATGCATATAAATTCAATATGGATTTTGAAAAGCAAGAAGATGGACAGGAGCAATAGAATGGCAGGTGCATTCAATAGAACCAATGATAACGTCAACCTCTGCATATATGTGCCATAACAAGGTGAATAGTTGGTGCATCAATGTTAGGATAGGTATTCCTGATCTTACATTTCAAATACTCTTAAATGCTGTTTGTGACATTAACCAAAGTGATCTACCAGTCTAGGGAGTACATGAGAACCTCATCCACATGCTCCAACAAGGAGTAGCACAGCTTAATTACAGACCGCATACATGACTCCCTCCCTTCATGTTATATACCTGATCTGACCACTCTGTCAATATTAATATTTGCTCCGCCCGACATCCTACTTCCCCCACTCTCCTACCATCTCCGCTCCATCCACCCTCCACACAACCCAGTCAGCTTCTGTATCCGCTCCTATGGCTCCGCTCGACTGCCTCGTCGGTTGCCTTCCACATCATCCATTCTACTGTAAATCCCCTTGTCCCATTTAGGTATATACTTTCCCAATTTGCACTTAGTACTTACTTCCCGGATCACTGGTACTTTCTATAACCACTTGACTAACTGATCCGATGCATACATATTGATATCCACCCTGACTTATGTTTTTCACCTGTGTTCACTTACAAATTGTATACTTGGTACATAGCCTCCTACCAAGGACTAACCAGTCACTGCATCCTACTTAGAAATACATAAAACATATCCCCTACTTAGCTACACCCCAGTCTTAATATTACTTGTCTTCCTGCTGTCTCTACTAGTGGGAATTCTCTGTAGGACTTTGCTCCCTCTCTGGACACAAGTATACCTTGTCGTCACCTCCAACCCTCCACTCCGACTTTAAGAGCTGCGCTCTAAAGTGTTTGCTCTTACTTCTCTGACTCCCCCTATTGTTCCCCTTGCTCCCCTCCATTCCAATAAGCTTCCTCCACCTTCTCCGCTCCACTCCTAGTTGGATTACCATTGGCAGCACTTACCTCCCGACCCACCAAAGCAGACCAAAGCGGTCCACTCGTTCTATTGTCAGACATTGTCAGATCCGCTCCAAATTCAGGGCACGTACTTGACTAAGGGCGCAGTGCAAGAGCTGAAGCCAAGCCCTAACCCCTCCGCTTCTCCATTCGAGCACGGTCTCTAACACTTCAGCCCTTCTCCTTGCCTGTTCCATGTATGTCTGGCATCCAAAGGCTATACTGCTGAATTTGCCATGAGTTGGATGCTGTCCATTCTCTTTCCAACATAGGTCTTCTGTTATTTGTGGTGATTGAGCATCTTATGGTGCAAGTTTTTTGTGTTATGATGTTGCTCACTCTATTGGACTCTTACTTAGCATGTGATGTGAATTCCTTACTGACTTAGGTAGTGTTTATACTTATTTACATAGACTCGCCCATAGGTAGCAAGTCCTCTGTTGGTTGCTCTTTAGCAACTGACACTGGACTATAGTCCTATTCACTCTCATGAGCTCACTTGTGGCTTGGTTCTCTCAGTCATTCTAACACCTTCTTGTGCCCAGAATCACTGTCATCCCAGAGTGCACACTCCTTCACCACCTCCTCTGCCTCCATTCTCAGTGCCTGGGTGAGGCATACCAATCCCCAGATGTTCCTAGTGTTGGATGCCTTGTCATGCTTTGCCTGTTCCACTAAGTCCCTAAAACTTTGCTCCCTCTGCTCCGCTGTCTCCCAATCTCCACTAGCATCATTGTAGCTCATCAGCTGCCCATCAACACACCCACCTGGAATTGCCAAGGTGGCAAATGCTTCAGAAAGAATCTCATGCAGGCTGTTCAATAATACCTCCATCTGCCGTCTAATGCACATGTTGACTGTCTTCATCTTGGCATCACCCTCATTGTCTGAATCTAATCAATCTGCAGATGGCCTGTACTGTTCATCGATCATGTCCTCAAGGGCTGATGCAAAGGGAGGTGCTCCAGGGACTGTGAAGATTGTGTATGTTACATAGCAAGTAGGCATTCACACACACACAGAAAGTAATAGATGCTTCTGCAGGCCTTCTACTGGTACTAGGCATTAGATGTCTCAGTCAATTGGTATTGATTGATAGTAAGGTGAAGTCAAGTGAAGAGAACTCTGAAGAAACAATTGCTTGGTGTGTGATGGGATAGAGTGAATTGAGTTGTGGATTGTTAACTGTGGATTGAATGTGAGACTAATTAACCTGATCTGAGTTCATGATTGATTGGTGTGCAATGGGATGGAGTCAATGGAGTTGTACATGATGGACTGTGGATTGAATGTGACACTAACAAACCCAATGCATTTTTGCCATTGCTACCTGGCATGCATGAATGGAGGCATTGAATACAATGGCTTAACCCATCCCTGACACAGGCAATGTAAGCAACCCTCTCATACATCAGGCATCACAAGGGCTATCATTGTGAAGTGTCAGAATGATGGGGAATTGTCATATACCATATCCGAGCACCTCCAGTACCTCCTGCAAACATCCCCACCACTGGTCCGACCCCCTGTTTCCCCATCCGCTCCAGCCCTCCTTCACCAACAAATGCATGAAGTACATCTCAGCAGGACTAGCCCTGCTATCTCCGCCCAACTCTGCTCCACTCCTCCAACACTACCCCTATTTCCTCTGACACCATATTCCTACCATCCAACTCTATCTGGAGTTCTGCTCCTCCACCCTATTGGTCCGCCCGATCCTACTCCTACTCCCTCCACCATCTCCGCTTTTCCGACCCACTTGGTTCCTCCAGTTCCTCTCATGTTGCTCCATCCAACTATTGGTCTGCCCGACCGTCTCACCGATCCACTTCTAGACTAGAAACCACTCAACTGGTCCTACCTCCTTTTGGTATCATAGTTCCTCCTTTCAAATCACCAGTAATCCCTATACCCGAGTGATTATTGATCTGTCACGTACATACTATTCTCCAAGCCCCTTTCTCATTGTCTCAGTCATCTTTCTAGTAATTCTGTACACTCAGCACATAGCCTTCTGCTATGCTATGCTACTTACTTAGAGTATATAAACATATGCAAATCTATCTGTAGATCTTCAGTCTATGACACTCAGTGCCTCGGGAGTTTGTAGCCTTGTATCCCATGTCATCTTGGGGAATGATTGTTGCACTTTCCACACCCCCAGGTGCAAGGCAAGGGTTGATGAGTGGTTCGCCTCCCTCAACCCAGTGTAGTGTTTGACACTAATGAACTGCAGAGCATCCCAAGCCTTGACAATCTCCTTCTGTCTGGGCTTAGTGATGACATGCTTGAACCTTACCACCATGAACAAAGGGTGCAGTGGACAACAGGCTTCCTTGGCATCCTCAGGTGGCAGCAGTAAGAATGAGTCATTGGGATCAAATAGAGGGAGTTGCAATGCTGAAACACCTGGTGGGTACTGCTGTTGCACAAGTTGCTGCGTGCACCAAGTCTCTAGGATATACTTTCAATGTCTCCTGCTCTTAAGTCAACCATGACAAGTTAATGATGTCATCAGCAGACTCATAGGCATACCACTCACCCCACTGTGCCTCTAGTGATGCAACTGTCTTACCTTGGACATTGTCCAGGTATACCTTTAGGTGTTGTGCTTTACTCTCAGTGCTTCTTTTGCCACAGCAGGTCCTCCATTTCTGTTTCAGATGTACTTGTGTAAATCGGCAATGGGCTTCACTGGAAACATATAGTGAATGTTGTGCAGAAGAGGCATGTTTCTTGCTTGTGTGGTGCAAAAGCTAACAACAACATATAGCATAACCAGCAATATGTTATTTGTGATGATTGAGCACCTTATGGTGTGAGTTTTTTGTGTTATGATGTTACTCATTCTATTGGACTCTCACTTAGCATGTGATGTGAATTCCTTACTGAGTTAGGTAGTGTTTACACTTGTTTACATAGACTCGCCCGTAGGTAGCAAGTCCTCTTAGCTCACTTGTGGCTTGGTTCTCAGTTATTCTCAATACAGTCAATATTCATAATCTTACTAATGCTTTTAGTAGACACAAATGCAGGAAGCTCAAGCCAGCAAGCTTCACTCCACAGACATATTCAACAAGGCATGTATCCCTACCACTCACTACCACTCCACCTAACTCAATGTCAGTTTAAGATCGACTCCCTAACACAGCACTTCAAACTTGCACAATACAAAGTTGAGTGTGCCACTGCCAGGATATCCTCCAAGACTCCATGCGACACACCACAAATAATCAGAGCTGAAGAGGGCACACATCAGCTGCTTTCAGCGCCTCCTCCACTGGCTACTTCTGTCCCACCAGCCACTACCATGCCAGCAGCAATGACACCTGCAAATATCACACTGCCCATGACTTCTGTTCGATCCTAACACCCCACCACACTCAGCACATGAATGCAGCACACATCAGCAAGTGCTGAAGCATCACAAGTGCATGCAGACAAATCATTGGAGCATCAAGATGAAGGAGAGAGGATGATGGGAAGAGGAGGATGAGAGGAAGACAAAGGGGAAAATGCTACAGAGGGTAGGACAAGAATATGATAAATGATGAGTGGATGATATCCACTCCACCCGACCTCATACTTCTCTGCTTTCCTGACATCTCCGCTCCGTCTGCCGTCTGCCCAACCCAGTCGCCTCCCGCATCCGCTCCTATGGTTCTGCTTGACTGCCTCATCGGTTGCCTTCTGCATTGTCCATTCTACTGTAAACTCCTTTCCCCATTTAGGTATATACTTTTCCCCATTTGCACATAGTACTTACTTCCTGGATCACCGGTACTTCCAATAACCGCTCGACTAACTGATCCAATGCATACATATTGATATCTGCTCCAACTTATGTTTTCCACCTGTGTTCACTTACAAATTGTATACTTAGTACATAGCCTCATACCAAGGACTAACTAGTCACTGCCTCCTACATAGAAGTATATAAAAACACCTCCTGTACATAGCTACTCCCCAGTCTTAATATTACTTGTCTTTCTGCTGTCTCTACTAGTGGGAATTCTCCGTAGGACTTTGCTCCCTCTCCAGACACAAGTTTACCTTGTTGTCACCTCTGACCCTCCACTCCAACTTAGAGCTGTGCTCTAAGTACTTACTCTTACCTCTCTGACCTTGTCACTCCATCCCCTTGCTCCCCTCCATTCCAATAAACTTCCTCCACCTCCTCCACTCTGCTCTGTGTTGGATTACTGCTAGCTGCACTTACTTCCTGACCCACTAAGTAGACCCAAGCGGTCCACCCGTCCTATTATTGGACATTGTTGGATCTGCTCCAAATTTGGGGCACGTACTCAGCTAAGGGGTGCAAGAGCTGAAGCCAAGCCCTGACCCCTTCACTTCTCCATCCAAGCACAGTCTCTAACAGCCTCATTCTATATCATTAAGTCAGATGCATGACAACCCCACAAACTCCCCGGCTTACAGATATGGCACCAGCAGCCCACAACTGAGATTCAAATGTCTGTCTTGTTGCTGCACAATGCCATTGTTGCAATGACCTATTCTCAGGCTTGTGTATCCCAATGGTGTTCAACCTCGTACCTTATATACACATTGTTTTACATCAACCACACCCAAGTGCCAATGCTTGGGCTGTAAATGGGGAGTGTGCACCATCTGTTTCAGACCTTGACCACTATCACTTGAGACTTCAGAAATAATTTTCACAGACACTGGTCACAAGCATATTAACCATGAGAGATGCATGCACCAGCCATGTGAAATACCTTCTGCACTCACCATTCTCATATCTCCAGCCACTACCATGCCAGCAGCCCTTCTCATCCAATGATGAGCTGTTGAAAGCAAACACTCCTGAGAAGCTTTCCCAGACAGCAATTGTACTGAGGAAGAGGTATGCTCATTGTGTTACATCTTGCTTCACCCTCAAGCTTGAGCTGTTAGGCATGTAGAGACCCATACCCAGTACATGCCCTAGTCCTACCTATGGATGCTCTGACAAGCTCACAATGCTCTATGGATTGAGATCTGCAACTGACACATCTTTGTGCCTGACCACTCACTTCATTGGAGTTCACACTTCACTCTATGCATTACTTGTTCCAGACTTTGCTAGTACCAGGGGAGACTTTTTTCTCATTGATCATGTGGACTCAGATATGTTTCTTGGTTCATGGCAACATATGCTTTAACTAATGGTATTCCTAATACCCTCTCTAGAGTCTCTTGGACTGATTCACTCCCCAATAGTACTTGAAATTTCTTTATGGTGTCACTGGTGCAGACCTGCAGACCCACCATCTCCCTTCTCATTGAAAGTGGGATGGTCCTCTTATGCTTCCTGGACTAGATCCCCTGCAATTCCCACAGTTTAGAATGACCAAACTCCAATTGTACCAGCTCTGATGATATAATAACACCAAAGACACCATTACCTTGCACAACTTCCTCATGGGCATTATCATATCCTGTACCTCCGGATCCGGAATTCCGGATCTACTTCATTAAAGTCCGGTCCTCCGTCTTACTATCCCACCCGGTGCTCTGCCTTCATCTCCGCACTCATCCCTAACTCCTTTTAGATTAGCTATTGTTCTGGTTACCGGTTATGTCCTATTCCACTATGCTTACTGATCCGTCCATTCTTACTTCATTTCCAACTTCACTGCTTTGATCTGTTACACTTAGTAATAGACTTTCCACATGCTTCATACATAGCCCTTACCTTTGCTGACTGATTTACTTACATGATACCTACAGTATATAAACCCCTGTAATACTCTGGAACTCCTTAGTTCAAATATCATCTTAGTTCTGCTCATTCCTGCAATCTCCAGACTTGAGTCTCATCTCTTGTCCACCTCTGAGTCTTAGGGGTTAAACCTTAGGACTAATCCTCCGGCTCTACCTTAGGGTAGTCTAACCTCTGTTCTGTTTCTACTCCGGACTTCTGTAGTAGCCTTACTCCGTCCCCACATAGTCCTCCGGAGTTCTGCCAAACTCCACCAACTTCTGTCCTCCGGAATTCCCTGGACTTCCCCTCTGTCCCCCAGAAATTAAGGGCACGTACTCAGGTAAGGGGCACAGTGCACGAGCTGAAGCTGAAGCCCTTTGAGTAACCTCTCCCTTGAGCATGACCTTAACAGTATATTCAAACTCACACCTTACTGAGTATACTAATGTCCGAGAATCACTTCTCCGTCAGGTTTAAACTCCTGTCCCTCATAAACTACGATTTTTCCTCCAACCATTCCATGATTGTTTAGGATCCTTCATCCTTACGAAATTTCAGTTCTGATAAACCTCCATATCCCTATGTCCAATCCTTCCATCCCGATTCCCTGATCATAACTATCCTACGCCAGAATGCTACATAATTATCTCCGGTTCCCTATTATATCTGATTTCTCCACCACTTCCAGACTGGCAAGTCACCTCCGGAATGTCTCAACATTCAACCCCTTTGGATTCTCCTAGTACCACTCAGGAATACCGCTTGCTCTCCCGCCACGATCCGTTGATCGATAGGGTATAGAGTAAACACCTTTTTCCGGGTTTTACCACTGGAAATGCCATTGACCTCCAATGTCCAACAAGAGTCCACTTCGCTGCGGTACCCCTAACTCTGGACTAGCCATGTTCTCCACCGGTTTATGTCCGGTCTATTTCCAATTAGCGCTAACCAATGTATACAGACTAGCCTCTCGTATATGCATACAGTTTATCACCTATCCTCTTCCAACTCCCAAGTCAAGTTACCCCACTTCATCTATGTACCTATACTCCTCCACTCCAAATTACTCCTCCTCCAATTTCCGCCCCGCTTTGCCTCCTCCGCTCCTATTCCTCCTCCGCTCTGCCGCCTCCTGGAAAGTCTTCCATCAGGAGGGAATTCCATCTTGCTCCTCCATTTACTCTGGATCATCCTCTGTTACTATGGACAGATTCTGGGACGCCTCCTATGGACAAAAGATTTACAATATCTCCATACCAAATTCACTAGAAGGGACTTTGTGTAATATCTGAAGGGAAGTCCAAGAAGAATCAGTAATGATGTATCATGTTCTGAACACCAAAGAACATACCAAAGTCGTCTGAGGAGACCCTCCCCATTTCCAACATCTCCATGTCGTTCCCATTGTTACTGGGAAAGAACCACCATAACAAGAGTTTTGTGAGGAGGAATTCATATGGAATCCTCACAAACAAATATGTGGCGATGCCAAAGAAGAAGCCAGGCCAAGCAGAAGCAAGGGTGTCTAAGAAATCCATCAGAAGTAATGGAAAAATCACGATGTTTTGCTGAACGAGTTCATTATTTTCGGCTACTCCCGCCCCAACTATCCCATCACATGATCTATACTCCGCACTCCGATATCCAACTAATCAGTTTACCCCATCCTGCAGACTCCGGAACAGAGTTCCAAACCTTACATCCACTGGCAGAACCGGACTTTCGTTCACTTCTCCGCCGGTACCACCGAAGACTCGATTTCAAAGCAATCAAGCAGCCTATTTTAATATATATACAAGTATGAACATAGGAGTCCGGAAAAGAGGACAGGAATTAGCTACACTTAGGTCTCCATCTCCGCCTCTTCCTCCAGCTCTGCTCCCGGCTCCAGCTGAGGCCCAGACCCTTCCCCATCCAGCCCCTTCTCTGCCTCGCTTTCCATCTCCTCCTCCGGCTTCTCCGTGCCACTACTAGAAGAGCTAGTAAGCTCTAAGACCTCCACTGCCCCCATCCCAATCTCTGCCTTCTTCCCAAGTGCCTTGTTGAGGATCCTTCCCCGGCCAGAGAAGCCCTTCTCCAGCACAACCCCGGTCACACGGAGGATCTCCCAGACTTCCGCCCGGGCCCCGTCCCTCTCTTCCTTCTGCTCCGCCCATTGGAGCTCCATCTGCTTGGCGAGTCGGGTTATGGCTGTCGCGAGTGCCCCTAGCTGCGCGTTGGTCTCTGCCTGGGCCAAGACCATGTCGTTGGTGGCCTTGGCCCACTCCTGGTCGTCGACCTCCATGATGGACTCCTCCTCTCCATACACCCTCCTCCGGGAAGGCCTACCCGCCTCTTCCTCCGCCCTTTCACTGGACTCTGCTGCCCTCTCCCACATCCTCTTCCACCCCTTCACTGGTGCGGCCAGTTGCATCTCGTCTCCATCGACCTTACAGGAGGCCTTCAGGCCCGCGCACTGGTCACAGGCCTTTGCCTTTGCCCTGCCTCTGCTCTGCTCCGGTCAATCACCGGCACAACGGAAATGACAAAAGCACTTACTTTGGATTTCGCCAGGGCCTCTCGCACCAGCGCCCACGTACATGTCCGGCCAGTGGCCTCGCACCACTGGCACATGACCACCGGAGGAACGACCTCTGAGACTCCCAATCTCCATGCCTACCATCGACATCAGTATCACCCAGTGCCAGATAGAAGGGGAACTCACCTCCGCCGCCTTGTGTGCTTCCTCTGCTGACCTTGCCCTCTCTGCCACCGCAGCAACTCTTGCCTCTTCCGCCCTCTTTGCCTGCTCTGCCGCCTCAGTGGCCTTTTTCTCCTCCACTATCGCCGCCACAGCCATCAACTCCTTCAATTCCGCGGTAGTTATACTGGCAAAGTCAAATTTCTGGGGATCAGACATTGTAAAGGAGTTGGAAGAATTTAAGTTAGAAAAAAGTGTCTGAAAAAACCCCGCACTCTTATAGTAACAACCTGTCACCGTGGAAACTCCGCTCCATACCCATCAATCCACTCCGGTCCAAACTTCATTGTCCCCATCTGCCTCACAGCACAACTTCTCTGCCTTGCGCTGTGGACTTCATTCCACATGTCTCGGTTTCACCGGCAACATCTGTCTCCCATCTCCCGAAATCCAAGCATTTGTCTAGGACCTCAGGGGTTCGGTCCTAATGGGGGGATATCTTCACACCGTGCACAATCAATCAACCCCAGACCCTGATCTCCAGACTTCCGTATTTCTGAAAACCTCCAACTACCAATCAAAATCAAAAAACAAGTTACATTGTACAAAGATGTGCATAAAATGTACAACCAGACATGAAGGATTACAGGACTATCTAGAGGTCATCAGTCTCCATATCTCCGCCAGAGATCCCAGCACCACTCGCACCCTCCACCTCCTCCTCCACTTCGTCCAGTTCTTCCTCCACGAACCTATCCATGGCCGCTCTGCTCCCCTCCGCCACAGCGATACTCCGCTCCAGAAGTCTGTTGGTCTGTGCCAACGCCGCCACTATGTCATTGGCAGCGGCCACCCAGGCCTGGTCGTCGTACTCCGTCCATCCGCCCTCCTCCGTGATCACAGTCTGGGGATTGGAGATCAACTCCACGTTGTCGTCCATCTCTGCCAGACTCCGCTGACACTTCTTTCCCTGGAACACTGTGCCTTCAGCTGGCGGCACACATTGCAATTCTGGATCTACCGGACCACCTATTAGAATACTCCAGAGAAAGAACCAAAGCATGCTTACCCTGTTGGACCTAGATGCCTGAGTCCAGGTACAGTCCCTCTTACGCTCCATGCAGGAGCTGCACGATTTCTCTGGACCTTCGGAGGTGCTGGATTGACTAGTAACCTAATGTCCGGATAAGTACCAACAAACATCCGATAAGCTATCAAATTTACCATTGACGTCCCCGCGTGCGCCAATGATGTCAACTCCCGTACCCTTCTCCGCGTCTCTTCGATGTCCTGCTGTTTCTGCTCCTCCTCACGTTTCTGCTCCGCTGCTGCTCTCCACTTCTCCTCTGCCTTGATCTTTTTCTCCTCCCTTAGTCTACGCTCCTCCTCTTCCTCCAAACGAATGTCCTCTGGTAGGCGAGCGAACTCCACCGCCATTTCCGCCTACCTTTCATCCAAGGTCTGCTTGGCGGACTTCTTGACTCCTTCGGGGTTGTTGGGCATGGCGAGCTGTATAGAGAGCTCTGGCACATTTTTACCATCACTGAAGAAACTCCAATGCCTCATGCTCCTAACCGACAATCCAGACCCCCGGCCTTGTGGGCTCAGCCCTACGGGGGGGGATACTGTCATATCCCATACCTCCAGATCCGGAATTCCAGATCTACTTCATTAAAGTCCAGTCCTCCATCTTACTATCCCGCCTGGCGCTCCACCTTCATCTCCGCACTCATCCCTAACTCCTTTTAGATTAGCTATTGTTCTGGTTACCGGTTATGTCCTATTCCACTATGCTTACTGATCCGTCCATTCTTACTTCATTTCCAACTTCACTGCTTTGATCTGTTACACTTAGTAATAGACTTTCCACATGCTTCATACATAGCCCTTACCTTTGCTGACTGATTTACTTACATGATACCTACAGTATATAAACCCCTGTAATACTCTGGAACTCCTTAGTTCAAATATCATCTTAGTTCTGCTCATTCCTGCAATCTCCAGACTTGAGTCTCATCTCTTGTCCACCTCTGAGTCTTAGGGGTTAAACCTTAGGACTAATCCTCCGGCTCTACCTTAGGGTAGTCTAACCTCTGTTCTGTTTCTACTCCGGACTTCTGTAGTAGCCTTACTCCGTCCCCACATAGTCCTCCGGAGTTCTGCCAAACTCCACCAACTTCTGTCCTCCGGAATTCCCTGGACTTCCCCTCTGTCCCCCAGAAATTAAGGGCACGTACTCAGGTAAGGGGCACAGTGCACGAGCTGAAGCTGAAGCCCTTTGAGTAACCTCTCCCTTGAGCACGACCTTAACAGGCATCAGCAAGTCATACAGCAATCATTGGATCAATATCATAGTCATCACCCTCCAAATTGTTGTCAGTCTCCTGAAATTCTGCAACTCAAGATACACCTACTGATGATTATCCTGTACAGCATCTAAAAAAAAACTATTGCTATATATCTAATACTTCTCATTGCAAAGCACACATAGCACAAGCTAGCACTAGAAAGCCATTTATAGCCTTCATAGTTCTCATAACATGTGATTCAGGATACATATTCCCCAGAGTATGAATGTTGTATTTGATAGCTGATATATACCTATGACTTCTTATTACACAAGCCTCTATAGGTCTCATAGCATGTGATTAAGGATACTTATTCCTCAGAGAATAAATGTTGTGTGTCATAGCTGATCTATCCCATACATAGTATATCACTTAGGATATATGATTGATACAGTGGCTCAAAAAACTGTCCGCATGTTTTCACATTTTTCACTATCTATGATATTGTGTGAGAATGTACAAACACATCAAGGACATGCTGGTACCATATTGGAGTACTACTTCAGGGCTTCCAATTGAGCCATATGGTGTGGGAATCAGCCAAGATATGGTGGATATATGAGGCTTACAAAATGATGACTCATGTGGACAGTTTTTTAACTCAAATATTTTACAGTGATAATCAGGTATTCTAGCACATTGTGTGACCTCCCTTGGCTTTAATTACTGCCTCTATCCTTCTAGGCATACTCTTAAAACTATATCTAACTATATAAACCAGAATGTCTCATGTGTCATAGTCATAATTACCATGAAAGCCATCTCCTCTGCTTAAAGGGATAATATCCTCTCTTTGTCCTATGCTGTCCTCTCTGCTCATCAAATTTTCTCTAGAACTGAAGTATGCAAGTCTACTGTGGCCAAGTATATCAAAGAAAGCCATCTAGACAAGGAAAACTCTTGTGGAGGACATCCACCTCTGCTAATAAGAGGGCTATCATCTAACATATCACTACAGGAAAGGCTAATGATGCCATCCAAGCCACCCATTATATCAATTCCACCATCACCACCACTGTCTCTTCACAAACTGTGAGGAATGTTCTCAAGGCAGTAACAAAGAAGAAATGCCTCTTCTCTCTATCAAACATAGACAGAGAAGACTACCTTTGGCTTGGCCCATCAAAACTGGACTGTAGAGGACTGGAAGCATGTTATATGGTCAGATGAGACCAAAATCAATAGGATTGGGTCAGATGGGAAGGTATATGTGTGGAAAAAGAAGAGGGATTTTCTAACAGACAGAGAGGTTAGTGAGACTGTCAAATTTGGAGGAGGTTCTCTAATGGTACGGGGCTGTATGGGATGGAATGGTGTGGGTATACATGCTGAAGTTGAGGGGAGGATGGATGCTGAGCAGTATGTGGACATTCTAAATGACCACTTGCTGTCTAGCGTAGCTGAATTAGGGATTGATGAAAAAGACATCATTTCCCAACAGGATAATGATCCCAAGCACACATCTAGAAGAGCCAGACAATGGTTTAAAGAACATAATATCAATGTTCTTGACCGACCAGCACAGTCCCCTGATGTCAATGTCATTGAACATCTCTGGGAAACACTCAAGAAGAAGCTTCAAGCCTATGAAACCCCCCCTAAAGTAGTATAGGAGCTATGGGAGAGAGTAGCAGTGGAATGAGCAAGGATTACAGCAGAATATTGCCAGAAATTGATTGAGAGTATGCCTAGAAGGATAGAGGCAGTAATTAAAGCCAAGGGAGGTCACACAGAGTACTAGAATATCTGATTATTGCTGTAAAATATTTGAGTCAAAAAACTGTCCGCATGAGTCATCATTTTGTAAGCCTCATATCTCCACCATATCTTGGCTGATTCCCACACCATATGGCTCAATTGGAAGCCCTGAAGTAGTACTCCAATATGGTACCAGCATGTCCTTGATGTGTTTGTACATTCTCACACAATATCATAGATAGTGAAAAATGTGAAAACATATGAACAGTTTTTTGAGCCACTGTATATATATGACTTCTTATTGCAGTCTTTGTATACTAATATCAGAGATCTCCAGCACTACTAACCTGCTCCAAAGCATGAATACCCACCAGCTTATTTATTTAATCATATATAGGACCACTACTGAGTACAGGGTTCAGAGTGATCAAACTATCCAAGTCCTCGCAGCTAAAAAATCTTTGTGATGAAAAAGGAACAATAGATGGAAATGCACAAGTTTCACTACACTTAGCCTTCAACCCTGTCCTGACTCATGCGTGGCAGTTGCCCTTGTGGGTTAGCATATACTGATAAATCCCCACATGGTTCCTTGTCTGTGCAATAACTCAAGTCCTGGAGTAAGCTGTGGGCAAATATTTCTGTACCAGCGGAGTCTCCTAACCTTACTGCTGCAGTAGGCCAGAAGGAGTGTTTCCAATTTTTGCAAGTCTTGGGAGCAGTGAGATTGCCTGATGACAAGTTTGACAGGTGGGTTTGGAACCATTTTGCATCTACATCCATCCAGAACCCCATCCATTGACTAGATGGTTCTACACCCATAGAGCTGCACCTGATAAGTGTCCCCAAGTCTACTGGGGTAACTAAGTCATTTCAGTATCCTTCTGCCATGTTGCCTTACCCCAAGACAGTAACGTCCAAGGAGGGGCCATCAAGAGCTTGTTGAACTAGCTCTGGTGGTCTGAATTGAAGTGCTAGTTACCATGCAATGCCACCCATTGTTAAAAAAACACTGCACATAAGGCTGCCATAGGATTTCCCACACCTGCCACAGATATTGATGCCAGTAGTCTGTACCCTTCAAATTCATCCCTAAGTATTGTATACGGGTGTCGAGGTAGGGTGGGGGTGTGAGCTAACAATGACCTAACCACTGGCACCGGGGTCATGATGCAGTAAGAGGTGCCCAGGCTGTGCAGGGTAACAATAGAGTCTGCAGGTGATGCATTCAGATTGCAGAAAAAATCGTAAGCCACTCTGATAGCCATATGGAAAGTCATGATCAGCCTTCCTAAACGCTGGGGGGCTCCTGAAGGGAAGGTGATACCCACTTTGTGAGGTAGTGGACTGGTGAGACCCTTCCATTATTGTTTAGGATCCTTCATCCTTGCGGAATTCCCGTTTCGATAAACTCCGTATTCCTATGTCCAGTCCTTCCGGTCCGATTTCCTGATCATAACTATCCTACTCCAGAATGCTACATAATTATCTCCGGTTTCCTATTATATCCGATTTCTCCGCCACTCCAGACTGGCAAGTCACCTCTGGAATGCCTCGACATTCAACTCCCTTTGGATTCTCCTGGTACCACTCAGGAATACCGCTTACTTGCCCGCCACGATCCGTTGATCGATAGGGTATAGAGTAACACCTTCTTCCGGGTTCTACTGCTGGAAATGCCATTGACCTCCGACATCCGATGAAGTTCCGCTTCGCTGCGGAACCCCTAAAAAACTCTGGACTAGCCATGTTCTCCTCCACCGGTTTATGTCCGGTCTACTCCGATTAGCACTAACCAATGTATACAGACTAGCCTCTCGTATATGCGCACAGTTTATCACCCATCCTCTTCCAACTCCCAAGTCAAGTTACCCCACTTCATCTATGTACCAATACTCCTTTGCTCCAATTACTCCTCCTCTGATTTCCGCCCTGCTTCTCCTCCTCTGCTCCTATTCCTCCTCCGCTCTGCCGCCTCCTGGAAAGTCTTCCATCAGGAGGGAACTCCATCTTGCTCCTCCATCTACTCCGGATCGTCCTCTGTTACTATGGACAGTGTTGGAACACTCTCTATGGACAAGATCTACAGTATCTCCATACTCCTTGACGAAATTGTTAGGAGAGTTCTTTATGAGAAGACTGTAAACAACATCCCAAGGAGATCAGTAATGACGTATCATGTTCTAAAAACCAAAAGACATACTAAAGTCATCTGAAGAGGCCCTCCTCCCCATTTCCAACATCTCCATGTTGTTCCCATCGTTACTGGGAAAGAACCACCATAACAGGAGTTTCTTCAGGAGGAATTCGTATGGTATCCTCACAAACAAATATGTGGCGACACCAAAGAAGAAGCCAGGCCAAGCAGAAGCAAGGGCATCTAAGAAGTCCATCAGAAGTAATAAAAAAATCACGAAGTTTTGCCGAACAAGTTCAATGATTATTTTCGGCTACTCCCACTCCAACTATTCCATCACATGATCTATACTCTGCACTCCGATATCCGATTAACCAGTTACTCCGTCCTACCAAACTCCGTTTCCGGAGTTCCGAACCTTAAACCCACTGGCAGGACTGGACTTTCATTCATTTCTCCGTTGGTACCTCCAAAGACATTTCCAAGGAAATCAAGCAACCTATTTCAATATATGTACAAGTATGAACATCCTCTGGTACCAGCTTCGGCTGAGACTTGGACTCTTCTCCATCCGGCCCCTTCTCCACCTTGCTTTCCGCCTCTTCCTCTGGCCTCTCCGCGCCACTACTGGAAGAGCTGGTAAGCTCTAGTACCTCCACTGCCTCCATCCCAACCTCTGCCTTCTTCCCAAGCACCTTGTTGAGGAGCCTTCCCCGGCCAGGGAAGCCCTTCTCCAGCACAATCCTGGTCACGCGAAGGATCTCCTGGACTTCCGCCCAGGCCCTGTCCCTCTCTTCCTTCTGCTCTGTCTGTTGGAGCTCCATCTGCTTGGCGAGTCGGGTAATGGCCGTCATGAGGGCCCCCAGCTTTGCGTTCATCTCCGCCTGCACCAGGACCATATCGTTAGCAGCCTTGACCCACTCCTGGTCATCGACCTCCGTGATGGATTCCTCCTCCCCATACACCCTCCTCCTCCGAGAAGGCCTACCCGCATCCTCCTCCGTCCTTTCGCCGAACTCCGCTACCCGTTCCCGCATTCGTTTCTGACTCTTCCCTGGTACGACCGGCTGCGATTCGTCTCCGTCGACTTTACAAGAGGCCTTTAGGCCCACACACTGGTCGCAGGCCTTGGCTTTGGCCCTGCCTCTGCTCTGCTTCGGTCAATCACCGGCATAATGGAAAAGACGACAGCACATACCTTCGACTTAGCCTGGGCCTCCCACACCAGCGCCCACGTACATGTCCGGCTGGTGGCCTCGCACCGCTGGCACACGACCACCGGAAAAGCGACCTCCGAAACTCCCGATCTCCGCGCCTACCATAGACATCAGTATCATCCAAACCAAATAAGAGGAAACCCACCTCTGCCGCCTTGCGTGCCTCCTCCACTAACCTTGCCCTCTCCACCGCCGCAGCAACTCTTGCCTCTTCCGCCCTCTTCGCCTGCTCAGCCAACTCAGTGGCCTTCTTCTCCTCCGCTATCACCGCCGCGGCCATCAACTCTTTCAGCTCCGCCATAGTCATGCCGGCGAAGTCAAATTTTTGGGGATCAGACATTGTAAAAAGTGTTGGAAGATGTTAGAAGATGAAAAGTTCTGTAGGAAAAAGCCCCGCCTTCCCCGCACTCTTATAGTAACAATCCGTCACCGTGGGAACTCCACTCCATACCCCACAATCCACTCCAGTCCGAACTTCATTGTCCCCATCTGCCTTCACAGCACAACTTCTCCGCCTCGCGCTGTGGACTTTGTTCCACATGCTTTGGTTCCACCAGCAACATCCGTCATTCACTTTCCCCAAAATCTGAGAATTTGTCTAGGACCTCAGGGGTTCGGTCCTAATGGGGGGATATTGTCACACTGTGCTCAACCAATCAACCTCATACCCCGACCTCCAGACTTCCGTATCTCCGAACACCTCCGACTACCGAACAAAATCAGCAACAAGTTACATTTTACAAAAAATGAGCACATATGTACAACCAGATACGAAGGAGTACAGGACTATCTAGAGGTCATCAGTCTCCATATCTCCGCCGGAGACCCCAGCACCGCCCCCACCCTCCACCTCCACCTCCGTTTCCTCCGGTTCTTCCGCTGCCTCCACTCGAAAGCCGCTCCTCACTGCCTCCAGGAATAAGGCTTGGAATCCATGGCCGCTCTGCTCCCCTCCGCCGCAGCAATACTCTGCTCCAGAAGTTCGTTGGTCCATGCCAACGCCACCACTATGTCATTGGCAGCGGCCACCCAGGCCTCATTGTCGTACTCCGCCCATCTGCCCTCCTCCGTGATCATGATCTAGGGATTAGAAATCACCTCCACGTTGTCGTCCGTCTCCGCCGGGCTCCGCTGACACTTCTTCCCCTTTGCCCGGGGAGATGGGGTACCTTCCGCTCGCTCCCGCTTCTTCCCCTTGTCAATGCTAACCGGCGGAACGCTGCCAGAGCACTGCGCCTTCAGCTGACGGCACATGTCGCAATTCCGGATCTACCGGACCACCTATTAGAATACTCCAGAGAAAGAACCAAAGCATGCTTACCCTGTTGGACCTAGACGCCTGAGTCCAGGTACAGTCCCTCTTACGCTCCATGCAGAAGCTGCACGATTTCTCCGGACCTTCGGAGGTGCTGGACCAACTAGTAACCTGATATCCGGATGAGTACCGACAAAACATTCAATGAGCTATCTAACTTACCGTTGACACCCCCATGTGTCCCAATGACGCCAACTCCAGTACCCTTCTCCGTGACTCCTCAATGTCCCTCTGTTTCTGCTCCTCCTCGCGTCTCCGCTCTGCCGCCGCTCTCCGTTTTTCTTCCACCTTCATCATCTTCTCCTCCCTCTGTCTGCACTCCTCCTCTTCCTCCAGACGAATGGCCTCCTGTAGGCAAGTGAACTCCGCCGCCATCTCCACCTGCCTTTCTTCCATGGCCTGTTTGGCGGACTTCTTGACGCCTTCGGGTTTGTTGGGCATGATAAAACTGTATAAGAAAGTAGAAGGAGGAAAAAATGTTTTTTTTGTCTCCAAAGACCTCTGGCGCATTTCTAACATCCCTGAGGAAACTCTGATGCCTCATGCTCCTAACCGACAATCCAGACCCCCGGCCTTGTGGGCTCGGCCCTAAGGGGGGGATACTGTCATATCCCGTACCTCCGGATCCAGAATTCCGGATCTACTTCATTGAAGTCTGTTCCTCTGTCTTACTATTTCGCCCAGCGCTCCGCCTTCATCTCCGCACTCACCCCTAACTCCTTTTAGATTAACTATTGCTCCGGTTACCGGTTATGTCCTATTGTGCTATACTTACTGATCCGTCCATTCTTATTTCATTTCCAACTTCACTGCTTTGATCTGTTACACTTACTAATAGACTTTCTACATGCTTCGTACATAGCCCTTACCTTTGCTGACTGATTTACTTACATGATACCTACAGTATATAAACGAATTCTCTACAGGACTGTGCTCTCTCTCCAGACACAAGTTTACCTTGTTGTCACCTCCGACCGTCTGCTCTGACTTAGAGCTGCGCTCTAAGTATTCACTCTTACTTCTCCTACCCAACCAAACCAAATCCCCTTACTTCCCTTTATCCTGACACACTTCCTCCGCCTCCCCTGCTCTGCTTCTAGTCGGATTACCGCTAGTAGCACTTACCTCCTGACCCACCAAGCGGACCAAAGCAGTCTGCTCGTCCTATCATTGGACATTGTCGGACCCGCTCCAAATTTGGGGCACATACTCAGCTAAGGGCACAGTGCAAGAGCTGAAGCCAAGCCCTGACCCCTCTGCTTCTCCATCCGAGCACGGTCTCTAACAAGTGGAGGGCCATCTTTTGCTATATGACAGGTAAGTGATAATAAGCTTCAAATACAATGTGATTAGAAGACTTACTACACGCAATGAAGCTCATATGTTTGGGTGAAAAAAACATGTGGGTATCAACTCCTGCAAGTGTTGGACCTGAAATGTATGGACATGAACAGGAGTTCTGATGACTGGTTTAAGAGCTTGTCTCTTGTAGCATCCATCCTTGTCCACACCATAAACATTGATATCTCTTTGTAGTATTAATACAATATACTGGGTGGATTGAGAGTCAAGCTAAATACCTGATAAAACTGAGGTCCCTGGCTACTTGCTGAATCTTATCCAGAGGCAGGCCCTTTATATGGAGGATATGTTTGTATATCAGAATGATGTTGGCAGCAGCCATTCTGTCCAGTGTCACATTAAACACCTTCTGACACCATTCATGAAACTTGAAACTTGACTCAATCAATATCAGCAAACATAAGTGAGCAACTCACTAGGTATACAATGAACACGGCTGCTTCCAGGGAAACATCCCTGCTGGGCCAGAATTTGATTCCAATAGATGTCAGCTATGCTAATGGAAGGATTAGATGCAACTGGACATAAGACTATGTGGTGCTAGATTTCTTTGGCCATCTGTAGGCCAATAATTTCTACAATGACATCATAACCAGCCTAAATAAAGTCAGATTGAGCTAAGTATTACTGTGGTGAGTGTAAGACACTGACAGAATTGGAAACAAGCTGTGTATCAAGAGCTGCAAGCATCCTCAAAGTCCATGTCTGTAACTGGTCTTGACTGTTACAGAAACCCATATATTCCCCTGGCTGCAAGCAATGCCCAATGACATTGTGCCAATCAGAAGCAAAGTTGTTAGGTTTGTGATTGTACTGTAATCATCAAACATCAGCCGGTTGTTTAGAAGATAAATGATAAACATATTATGTGTTCTCTTAAATGGTGCCAATGTAAGCATGTCCCTGGAACCAATTCCACTGGGAATATGATATAACTATGAGCGCGCATAACTCAAGGTGTTAAAAGATACTGACAATGTATTGATTTACAATCATCATATGACATGACACTCCTGGAGAGTGCCTTCAGAAAGCATTGTGTAAGGAATTGATGTCCTGACACCCAGCAACTTCACTACCTCCATGACATGTCTATACCTACCCACTACTAGACTTCCTATAATATATATTTTGAACCACCATATGATGGTTGTCCAGGGATTGTCGATTGTTAGGTTGGCTATAACTGTCTGACAAGGGGAAGCATGTTTCAGAGTTAATTTCATGTTAGCAGGTCAAGTTAACTCTTCAGAGAAGGTGGATGTCAAGCCTGAGGGTTGCATCAAGTCCTGTGATGGCATAGATGGAGGCAGAGATAGTTCATTTGTACTGGGGCTAGGAATAACATTGAAGTATTCTATTATGGTCAGTAGAGGAGTGTCCCAGAAGTGTATGCACATACTAACTGTGAGTCATAGATCCTATGGTGTAGTCAGTCAGGTGACTGTATGTTGTGTCATCAAAAGACATGGCAGTAGTAAATGTAGGTTGCCAAGAGAATCCCATTGGCCATAACACTAACTTTGTGCTGAAGTTGAGTTCAACTGCTCAGATAAGTCAAATAAAGATGTAGAGGTGTTGTGAGTACAAAAATGCACGATTAGGCCATGTCCAGACTGATACCAACTTATGTTTGAGAACCTTGGAAACCATATTGACATTGTAGAGTGTTTTGTTCTAGCTGTATGACAGGATATCTACAAGGACCTGATACTCTGCTCCTCCAGAGTCCTCAACAATTGGTCTGCTGTGGTCATTCATAGTTATATATCCTATGAAAGGATCAGTGGTCATATCTACATCAACTGGCCACTGTGATTGTGTCATGATTGCATTAGATAAACCAGAGCATCAGACATGCTAGTTCCAGCTAACATGTAACATGCAAAGTCCAAGCTCATACTATCATATCCATTATCCATACAAGTCTCCTCCACCCTTAGTTAGCATCTTTCACCCTCATTTTGCATGATAATAGAGCTCAGATCTGACAGCAAGTCTCCAAGGAGGATGTCATATACCTGATCCGACCGCTCCAATAATAATATCCAGCTCCACTTTCCGACCACCTCCACTCCATCCATCCTCCACTCCATCCAATCATCATTTGCATCTGCCCCTACACTTCCTGCTCAACTGCCCAACCGGTCCCCTTCCATAAATGTCTCCATTCAACTGGGACCACTTTCCCCTTTTAGATATATACTTTCCCCTTCAGTACATAGACCCTTACTCCCAGATCACCGGTAATTCCTCTTACCACTCGATCACTGATCCGACGCATACATATTGATATCCGCTCCAACTTATGTCTTCACCTGTGTAAATACTTACAAATTATATCCTTGGTACATAGCTTTACAACATAGTTATCCTGATCACTGCCTCATACTTAGAAGTATATAACATATCCTGTACTTAGATATTTTCCCCCAGTCTTAATATTACTTGTCTTCTTGCAGTTACTACTTGTGATAATTCTCAGTAGGACCTTGCCTCCTCCGGACACAAGTTTCATCTTAGTTGTCACCTCCGACCCTCTGCTCCAACATAGAGCCATGCTCTAAGTCTCCTCCTTACTTCTCCGCCCCTATCAAATATTCCCCCTGCTCCTTTCCACCCTCCATATTATCCTCCACCTTCTCCGCTCCGCTCCTAGTCGGCCCACCACTAGTAGCTCTTACCTCCCAACCCTCAAAGCGGACCTAAGAGGTCCACTCATCCTACTATCGGACAACGTCAGACCTGCTCCAAATTCAGGGGCACGTACTCAGCTAAGGGCACAGCGTAAGAGCTGAAGCCAAGCCCTGACCCCTCCGCTTCTTTAGCTGGCATGGTACCTAACATCAATCTATGTAAGTGTTAGAACTGTGCCTAATCGGTAGGATGGAGGTTATGAAGGGGCTTGGTTTCAGCTCATGTGTTGTACTCCTTAGGTGGGTATGATGCCCTTAACTTCTGACAAGGAACAAGTTCAAGTTCAAGAACAAAAGAGCAGGACTTAGAAAAGGTAATATTCAGACTGAGTATTTACAGACAAAGTACATACATTTCTATCCTCTAAGTAAGTAGCATAGCATATCAGGAGGCTATGTGCTGAGTGTACAAAGTCTATTACTAAGTGTAACAGGATCAAAGCAGTGAAGTTGGAAATGAAGTAAGAATGGACAGGTCTATCTTGGGCTGGACAATGATGTGGAGTATGAATCCATGCCCCCACAGATCAGTCGGGAGCTATATCTCGACCTAGAAGATGACTTCAATGGTGGGATTGGTGCACCCGAGCTGTCTCACCGCGCGAGCAGTGATCCCCTAGGGCAAGTCATCAGTCCGGCACTGTACCGTGGGCCAGATGACATGTGCAATGAACACATGCAATCTTGTAAGTGCTCCTCAACACTCAGCCATCCATATCTGATTCACTTTGCCAGTGAATCCAACAACCGCTGAATGCCTTCCGGCACGTCCAGCTCTGGACAATGAAGAGGTCCAAGCTATGGTTCAAGAGTTCCAGCTGTTCAGGTCATACCATGATGTAGGATGTGAGTATAAACTGCAGGTCTATGTCATCACATTTTTCTCATTGCTATTGTAGAATCTTCAGACCTGACTGACCAACTTCAGACATACTCACAGAAGTCTTCCAGACCCGTCCATACCACAGCTCCTGGAGGCAGAGCGACCATTTTGATCTGCTTGGGTGGAGACATCCGACAAGCTGGCACGGGCCGATCAGGAGCTTCAAAGGATGCAGAGGGCTGAGCAGGCAAGCATTGAAATGCTCAAGGTTGTGGATTCACTGATTCAACGGTTCAAGACCCAAATTCACCAGGGTCAAAGTAGGATACCCAAAGATGTAGATAGCATACGACCATGATCCTTACATTAGTGTACCATCATCATATGTGACTTTGAGCATACACATTGAAAAGGAGATTCACTCCCTGTGCATTGAAGACTAATCGTCAAGCATCAGATACCAAGTACCAATGGCATGGCATTGACCATCAAACCTCAATGGTCAAGTACCAAGGACACCAAGTAGATGGCATCAATGCCCAAACCTGAACGATTCCCTTTGGCACTGGGGATGTGTTTGTCTCCTCCTCAGTTGCAGTTTTGTCTTCACAGTTGATGCTGGACAACCTTGAATGTGGCACCTTGGCAATGAATTATTACAACAAGCTTTGGCAAATGACCTTGAGCACATTTCCACACCTCGTGGTGGTAGGGGACCATCTATAACTTCCAAGGATCTTTATACTCATGGGAGACATGGGCAAGATCGATACCAAGAGCTCATGAGGGTCTCCTGGCAGTGGCGACACTTGAAGAACATGAAGTGGCATGGCTTCGGCCATCATTCCAACCAACGTGAGCCGGGGGACCTAGCATTATTCAGCCCAGCATGTCCTCAGCGTGGCATCAATCTATTGCTGACAACAGAAGAATCACTCAATGAGTGAGTCATGTTGAATATGTTAGTTATGGTGATTGAGCACCTTCTGGTGCGAGTTATTTGTCTTATGATGTTGCTTCCTCTATTAGACTCTTACTTAGCATGTGATGGGAATTCCTTACTTACTCAGGTAGTGTTTACACTTGTTTACATAGACTTGCCCATATGTAGCAAGTCCTGTGTTGGTTGCTCTTGAGCAACTGACACTGGACTATAGTCCTGTTCACTCTCATTAGCTCACTTGTGGCTTGGTCCTCACAGTGATTCTAACAGAATATGCAATCAAGGAAGAGGATATTAAGAACTCCAAGCTGGAAATACACCAGGTTATTTGTGATGGATGGGAACTTCAAAGTGGAACACCTGCATCCTATCAACCCAGATGATGAAGTATGGCTGTCCATTGGATTTGGATTCATGGTTGGAAAGGAAAGGTACCAGAAGCATCTTGCAGTAGCTACCGATACTTGGAAAGGTCAAGCTGCAACAACCATTGAGCTGTCAATCAAGCAAATGCGGCTCAGCACAAGCTGGAGTCCACTGGGATCCGGGGGGTGGCCTGTGTGCAACACGGTTGCTTGTTCCACACTTGATTGTAGATTTTCAGAAAGGAGAGAGGTCAGTAGAAATCACCATTCCATGGCCTGGAAGTGACCATGAATTGATATCAGACAGATGAAGATGGATTATGCCCTATGTGAGGCTGCAGCATACAACATGAAAGGCATCACCAGGGCCGTCACCTTTTATAACATCAACTGTCAATACAACAAGCATCTGTGCACTCAAGTGAATCAAGGTCCATTCTTGACAATGGTTCCTGAGCTGACCATTGTTCCTGGAATCAGTCTTTCACATGTGCATGGACATCAGGACAGCTGCTATGTGAGATATGCATCAAACTGTTAGAATGACTAAGTGAACCAAGCCACAAGTGAGCTCATGAGAGTGAACAGGACTATAGTCCAGTGTCAGTTGCTATTATGTTGTGTAAACTAATGAGTGTACTATACCTATAGTCCAGTGTCAGTTGCTAAAGAGCAACCAACACAGGACTTGCTACCTATGGGCAAGTCTATGTAAACAAGTGTAAACACTGCCTAAGTGAGTAAGGAATTCACATCACATGCTAAGTGAGAGTCCAATAGAGTGATCAACATCATAACACGAGAAACTCACACCATGAGGTGCTCAATTACCACAAATAACACAAACTTCATTGAAGGCATCAGTCGCATTGATGGAGAGATGACGGAGACCCTGTGGGTCCCCCTCAACCTTTTATCCCCTTCCACTTGGGGAATGTCTTCTCCACATAGGAAAGAATGTCTCAAATTTCAGATGAATGATTCCAATTTCTCTGCAAGATGGTTCACATGAAAAGGACACTTTGCCAGAGATTCAAGGGGGCCAAGCAGGGCATTGCCAACAGTGGGGAAGGCATCTAGTAGACTCAATGAAATGTTGGGCTGGACCAACTCAAATACTGCTTAGGACAGGATCTGATTCTGCTAGAGAAGTCGCTTTGTGATGGACGGGCCAATGATGCCCTTCACAATTTGCGAATACACTTGTGCAACAGTCAGTGCTTTTCCGAAACCACCATTAGGCAGGTGAAGTCCCAAGCACTGAAGACTTGGGCATGGTCCCAGGTGATGTCGGTTCACCAGGCTGTCTCTGAATGCCAGTATATGTTAGAATAACCAAGTGAAGCAAGCCACAAGTAAGCTAATGAGAGTGGAACAGGACTATAGTCCAGTGTCAGTTGCTGAAGAGCAACCAACACAGGACTTGCTACCTATGGGCGAGTCTATGTAAACAAGTGTAAAACACTGCCTAAGTAAGTAAGGAATTCACATCACATGCTAAGTAGAGTCCAATAGAGGAAGCAACATCATAACACAAATAACTCGCACCATAAGGTGCTCAATCACCACAACTAACAATGCGATCCACTCCTTACCTTGAAGCTGTGGGTGCTCTGATGTATCTTGCCACCACCACCAGACCAGACATTGCCTACGCTGTTGGCTGTTTAGCTCGATTCAACTCCAACCCTGGCCCTGCCCATTGGCAAGCTGTCAAGCACCTGCTTCGCTATCTGAAGGGCACTGCAGACTACTCCATCACCTATGTTCCTGATCCCAATTCCATCGAACTCTTCTCCTCATTCTCTGATGCTGATCATGGTGGATGCAAAGACACTGGTCGCTCCACTGGTGGCTACCTGGTCAAGATTGGCCTTGGTTGCTGTCTCCTGGTCGTCGAAGCTTCAAAGCATTGTGGCCTTGTCCACCACTGAAGCTGAGTACATGGCTGCAGTTGAGGCAGGCAAGGAGATCCGCTGGATGCGAAATCTCTTGTTTGAGATGGGCTTCCCTGCCACTGCACCCTCTGTCCTTAGGATCGACAACCAGAGCGCCATCTCTGTGGCCAAGCACCCAGAGCACCATGGTCGGATGAAGCAGCTTGATCTCAGCTTGGTATTGGCTTCGAGATGTGGTGCACAAGGAGATTATTGCACAGTGTTTGTGCCCACTGCTGACCAGCCAGCTGACATCCTGACCAAGGCATTGGCTCGACCCAACGGTGCAGTTGTTCTGCCAGATGATGGGGACTGAGTAGCTTGAGGGGGAGCTGAGATGTGTAGAGGTGCACAATCAGGGGGGGAGTGTTAGTTGTGGTGATGAGCACCTTATGGTTGCGAGTATTTGTGTTATGATGTTGCTTCTCTATTGGACTCTCACCTTAGCATGGATTTTGATGTGAATTCCTTACCTTACTTAGGCAGTGTTTACACTTGTTTGACATAGACTCGCCCATAGTAGCAAGTCCTGTGTTGGTTGCTCTTCAGCAACTGACACTGGACTATAGGTATAGTACACTCATTAGTTATACAACACAATAGCAACTGACACTGGACTATAGTCCTGTTCACTCTCATTAGCTCACTTGTGGCTTGGTTAACTTGGTTATTCTAACATTATTTTCACGGCAAGTGATGGGATTGTGATGTGGGAAGTTGTCTAGGTCCACCTCTTCGCAAACATGTGGATTGGCGGAGTCATAGATAACGCCATGCTCCTGAATGATATCTTTGTTGGGCACCTCAGTCCATCGTTTGACCCTGGTGTCTTGGGGGCAGGAAGGCAGGAAAGCATGGCCATGATAGAAATAAATAAGGGATGTACGCAATGTCTGTGGCTACCGCTACGGACACATATCTTATGTTGTGTAAGATCTTTCTGTGTGCCAATTCTTAGCTTCGACAATGTGGTTGTGGCATTTGAATTAGCAATCAGTTGGTTCTGACCATAGCAATAAGCTACAGCAACAGGAGCACAACTGAGGAGCCACCCATCTTGCTTCCAGGTCCTAGGGGCAGCCGGCAATTATGGTGTTGTGTAATTCAAGCAAATCATCGAGGTGCAAGTTCCAAGTCCCCTGGGAGCTACATGCATCATATGCAGCAAGAATGGAAAATGAAATAGATCAGCTGGGTTCATTAAGGTGTATGAGGTCAAGAAATTTCCGCGGTCGCTACCATTCCCACAGTGGATGCACTGATTCAAGTAGCATTGATTGTGCACATGACATTTAGAATATACATGCAGGTCTGATGACATAGTGTTGACTAAAACAGACATCCAACAGGACACCATTGTTCGACTTTAACTCACCACTATGCCCTCAATGATCCACCGTCACTATTGTTGCAAGCACTACACTCACAGGACGGTCCACCTTCACCCATCAGGATCCATCAGGCCAGGAACCAACATAGAAATGATGTCGATGACAGAGCATTGCTAACCCACACACCCTTGAAGAGACATGAAGTTCCCAGAAATAAACCACTCACTATATGTTGGACAAGTCCTTGATCCTCCATACGCTGAGATCATTGTCCATGCCATAGGGGTGCATGATGTAGATAGGACTGGTGTCCCTGTGTTGTCTTTGCTAAGCAGAGGCACATTGTTCGCGACTTCCAAGTCCTCCAAGTTCTTGTGTGGGCAAAATGCTAGCCATAATTCAGAAGAAGCCCCCATTCCAAGGGCCATCATGCATCCTGTGGGATAGAAACCAAGCTTGCTGAATTTTGGTCGAAACAGTCAGCTGGGAAGACAGAGGTTAAGGGTGATGAAGAATGTGTGGTTGATGACCTTGTTCAGCAGCAATGCATGCAAACCCACTGAGCCTCCAACAACAAGAAAGAAATCAAGAAAATGCTGGGAGCCATTCCAAGCCAGCATTTCATTGTCGTTGTCATAGTACAAGTCTTCATTGAGGCAAAGGACAGAATGGCGATGCAGTAAGTTGATTGTGATCGCTTTGTCGTCCTTTTTGAAGGTCTATGCAAGTGTGGACAAGCTGACAGACTGAACTTTCATCTGCTCCCACGTATGACCTGCAGCTCGAGCTCCATCCTGTTGCAAGAACAGACTCTCGAAGATCTTGCTTTGAGCCAATGCATTGTCTGCTCCACGGATGAAGGCACATCTGCGAGATCCAAAAGGGGCAAGGCTTCATCCTGATTGCCTGGCTGGCAGCACCTGGCAAAAGTGGATGGTTGCTAGATAGATAATCAACTGTCCGAAACTTGTAGGGACCCCCGTCACTGAAGAGCGATCAAGGTAATTCAAGGCGAATTGACAACTCAACACATGATCTTCTCCATGGGGACATGATACAATTGAAACTTGGAAATGAGATGGGGGAGCTGAGGAGGGATTGGATGCAAAGGTTCTGTGGAAATGAGCGAGTCCAGAAAGGAGCAGGCCGTGTAGGAGGAAAATAAAACGACCCCCTTAAACAATTTTAGTCTGTTGATGTTAATGCAAGGGGGCAATGATTGCGACAAAGAAAAACTTAACAACAATGAAATTGACCAGCAATGCAAACACACTTTAAATTTCTGTCAGCAAGGAGATACCATCTATAGATCTGAAAAAAAACCATGAAAACAGCGAGTGAAAGAAATGGAGACAATGGATTGCAAAGGTCATGAGCAAAATAGAAAGCTAATGCAAGAGAAAGCTACTCACTGGCACAACCCGACAGGCGATTGAAAAGACAAGAAAGAGCGAGAGAGCAGGGACAGTTAAGGATGATGATGGGAGCAGGTTTTGCAGGAAAGAAACAGAAATCATTTGCATAGGGTGACACATCAACATGCGAACGAGCAAGAGGACAAATGACAAAAGACGAAAGACAAGAGGATGAGAACACAATGCCATGGGCGTTCAAACGAGGGTTAGCTGACCTGAAATAGATGAGTTGACAAATGACGCACCATATGCGATGTCGCATTCAGGAGCGAATCAAAGGGAGACAGAGAGAGGTGTAATGGACAAGAAGATATATAAGAACAGATCTGCGAGGATTGAACCATTGTTGAAAAAGATGAAGGTTAGCAGCTGCACACAACATGATTTCAGTCATGCCGATCCCAGTCACTCATCTGCTGCTTTGATCCCCCAGCAAACCTGGACCAATGTTCTGGACCATTTTTAGTAGCACATCTAGCTCAGCTTCAAGATCGTGCAGCTCCCAGCGATCCCTCAACATCATTCCAGACTATGATACTCCATGGTGGATAGGGCACACACAATTCCAAACGAACCTTGGCGATGGAATCAGGTCATGGAGTGTTGTGGATTCCATTATGAGCACTGGCTGGTAAGCACCGAGTACCATTTTAATGACAGTTAATGAATCAAGACATCCAGGGTGGTGTTGAGGATGATGGTCTGATTCTTCCAGAGCTGGTTGATAAAGGAGGAAGTGCATCTCAGCAGGACTAGCCCTGCTACCTCCACTCAACTCCACTCCGCTCCTTTGACACTACCCCTACTTCCTCCAACACCATATCCCTACCATCCGACCCTATCTGGATCTCTGCTCCTCCACCCTATTGGTCTGCCCAATCCTATTCCTACTCCCTCCGCTTTTCCGACTCGCACGGATCCTTCAGTTCCGCTCATATTCCCCCACCCAACTATTAGTCCGTCTGACCGCCTCACCGGTCCACTCCTAGACTAGGAACCACTCAACTGGTCCTATCCCCATTTAGTATCATAGTTCCGCTTTTCAGATCACCGGTAATCCCTATACCCTAGCAATATTGATCGTCGCGTACATACTGTTCCCCGAGCCTTATTCTCATATGTCTCAGTCATCCTATTGTATTCCTGTACACTCAGCATATAGCCTTCTGCTATGCTATGCTCATCACTTAGAGTATAAAACATATGTACATTTGTCTGTAGATACTCAGTCTGAATATTACCTTTTCTAAGCCCTGCTCTTCTGTTCTTTGACTTGGGCCTGATCCTAGTCAACTCCTGTTAAGCCGGCCTAGGGGATTGACTCCCTAGGTCAGTCATCCTCAGATATCCGTTCCCCCGTTCCCCCGTTCCCCGTTCCCCCGTTCCCCGTTCCCCGTTCCCCCTCCCCCGTTCCCCGTTCCCCGTTCCCCCGTTCCCCGTTCCCCCGTTCCCCGTTCCCCCATTCCTCCGTCCCCTGACCTCCCGTCCATCAGAACTAGACCCCGCACTCTCGCATCCGTCCCCTCTGTTCCGCTCTGCTTCGGACTTTGTCCAAGCAGTTCCTTCCACTCCGCTGCTACTGTTGGTTCCGACCACAGTAGTCTCCGGCCTCCCTCCTGTCGGGCGGAACAACCCCCACCTGACTTTCCTGCGCTCACCTAGTAGTCTGTTGGTCCTTTCAGAGGACCTCCGCTCCGACGTCCTGTCGGAGCTCATAAACTTGAGTCGGACTACAATACGAAATTAGGGGCACATACTCGGGTAAGGGGCACAGCGTATGAGCTGAAGCCAAGCCCCTCAGACTCCACTTTACCCCTGAGCATGGTCTTCACAGACAGTCTGGTTGATAAAGGAGGATTTGTCCTTTGAGTCAAGAGGAGGGTCGCAAAAGGCATCATGAACGGCAGCCCACTTCAATTTGACAAGAACTTCTGCAATAGAAACATTGCAGCTGTGGGATGTTCCATCAGCATATATGCTGATGTCCGGCTTGACAGTGAATGAGAAAGCTTGAGAAAGCTTTGTGTCTGCATGATTGGAAGTGTCAATGAATGATAAAGCGGGGGCAAAGGATTTCAAAGTGCCAATCTGAACATTAAAGTTAGACTGTCAGCAATCCCAATATGGTAGTTATGGAGTGCTCACAAATGGTTCATAAGCCAGCACCTCATCTTTGACAGAGATTGTGGTATCAAATATGCCACTCTTGAAGGTTAAAGCAGGGAGATCTGGTATCTCTGAAGTCTGTAGGAACTCCTCAAGAAATTCCTGGACTAGCATCAGGCCAACGCAATAATTTTTCATCTCTGTGCCCATGGCATTAACTGTGAAATGCCGGCAACGCGCATTGGTTGCCAGGGGAACTTTGTGGAACTACCTGTTGAAAGGAGTGTCGGTGATTGCAGGAGTAAGCTGGGTGTTTTGTAAGTCCTTGGTGGGAAACTGGGGGGTGTCTGAAACATGCTTGGTTGTACAGTGGTGCTAGT